CTAATTGATCCTGTAAATATCGACGAAATTGGAGCGGGGGCCGCAGGACCCTGCTTATCCGGCTACGGCCTTTGCTTTGTGAATTTCTTTAAAACTATCTCCGGAAAGTACTCTAAAGATATATAGACAAATTTCCTGTAAAATTAAAATGCAAGTTTTCAGTGAATTTTATAAGGTAAGTTAATAATATTTATTAAATAAAAGTAAAATTAAAAAAATTTATTTTTCTCTTATTGCGCTTTATTTTATTTTTCCCCAACATTAACGGCGCAATTTTCGGAAATAAATTTGGAGGAGCTGGGGATTGAACCCGGACGCGCAACACAACAGCCAAGAACCCTAACCACTAACCTAACCAACGACCTGAAGGTGGGTAACTTTCGGGTCTTTATAAGCTGCAAGCCTTGTCGTCATCAGTTGACACGAATGGCGGGAAAATTTAAAAATGTTTTCAACGAAATATTTTTAAATTCTATTATTAAATTAGTGTCATAATTAAAAGGGCATTGAAATAATATTGCAATGTTAATATTAATATTATTTGTGAAACTAGCAGCTATATAAAACGATTTAAGGTAATTCTTTAAAAATGAAATTTATTAAATACTGAATCTCGTTATAAAAAATTCTGGACTTGTCAAATTTTTATTAAATTATTATTCAATTAAAAGTAACATAACTAGAAAAACTTTTTGAACATTTATCAACGTATGTTTATGGCTTTTATCATTAATTAATTAATTAAATTTACCGAGATGTATGGTGGACATTTAAATCGTCAATTTGTAATTTGATAAATTAATTTAAAAATTAAAATATCTGCATTTTATAATAAATATTTATAATTATTTGTCAATAATAATATAAATTATTTATAATAATTGTAAATAAATTTCTTGCATTCTTTAAATCAAAATTTTTTATACAACGCAATGTTTTTTCATATTTTTTATAATAAAAAAACATATCTGTATTAAAACACAAAACACACTGTAACAAGTCGTATAATATATATAGTAATTTAAAAAAAAATTGTTGTGTTGCGCGTCCGGGTTCAATCCCCAGCTCCTCCAAATTTATTTCCGAAAATTGCGCCGTTAATGTTGGGGAAAAATAAAATAAAGCGCAATAAGAGAAAAATAAATTTTTTTAATTTTACTTTTATTTAATAAATATTATAAAACATTTATAATAAACTTACCTTATAAAATTCACTGAAAACTTGCATTTTAATTTTACAGGAAATTTGTCTATATATCTTTAGAGTACTTTCCGGAGATAGTTTTAAAGAAATTCACAAAGCAAATTTCTGTAAAACTCAAAATTTAATATTTCCTAAACTTTTATCCACAATTTTTCGGCAAACTTAATCGGATATCTATCCTGAACTTCGCACCGCGAGTTATAAAACCGAGGACATATAGAGCTCGCCTGAACTTCCCCTGAAGCTCCCCAACTTAGTTTCCGAACTTAACACGGGGAACTCCCCGCGAACTCCCTGCGAAAAACGGTGCTGTCTGGGCATATATATGGTAATTCTACAACTGTATGCACTGTACACTTAAAACACTTATTATTAATTAATTATATCTTAATTTATTATTATTATTGCATAAATAAGCACTCTAAATGTATATTAACCATTCCTAATGGTTATTTACTACATATTTCGTCGATTAACGATAAAATTTCACAATGAACCGAAACGTAACCGAATCGTAACCCAATTCGGTTACAACTCGGTTTTCCCAATCCGCCAGGGTGTAAGGTTATGTGGGTGAAAATTTCCCAACTGGGCCACCTAAAACTGACTTTTAAAATTTTTAATATTTTTTTCATAATCTATTGCAGGAAGCCGAATTAAAAACATTCCTGAAATGCGTTTTTAAAAAATTAATTTTTTAATTATTTATTAACAATTGAATAATTTGTTACCTTTCCACTAAATTTGCAATTACTCTGTTACTTGTTAGTGAAATTTAATAAAATTTGGTGAGTATATAGAAAAATGATGTCTTCTTGAAATGCAATAGAAATTTCAATTAACTCTGTTATCAAATGATACTCATTTATACTAATACTAAGTTGGCTAAATAAAAATTTGTTTTAGCGAAAATTTAATTAAATAAGTATTTGGTTAAATAAAAATTAGACTTTAATAACAATTCTATTTAAAAAAATTCGGTTAAATAAAAATTCTTCTAAATAAAAATTCGGTTAAATAAAAATTTGGTTCTACGTTAAATTAATTTTCTAAAATTCAAACTTAGTACACATTGAGCCCCCCATTTAAAATCTTTTCGATGAAATAACAAATTCATAAAATTAATTTATAATTTAACTTTTTTTTTTATTTTTTATAAATATAAGAACAAATTTTATTTTATTTTAATTAATTTTAATAATTAATTTATAATAATTTAATAATTTAATTTATAATTTAAAATTTTTTTTTAGTTTTTATAAATATAAGAACAAACTTAATTTTATGAATTAGTTATTTCATCGAAAAGATTTTAACTGGGGCGCTCAATGTGTACTAAGTTTGAATTTTAGATAATTAATTTAACGCAGAACCAAATTTTTCAATAGCAGAATTTTTATTTAACCGAAACTTTATATAACTGAATTTTTTTAATAGAATTGTTATTAAAGCATAATTTTTAATTAATTAAATTCTTCTTTAATTATATTTTCGCTAAACCAAATTTTTATTTAGCCAAATTAGTTTTTTTTTCTTGCGCAAGGGCAAACGTGAAAATCTGCTACACCAAGGAGGGAATTGCAACTCCATGGATCAGACCGTTTCGGAGGCGCACTCTTTTCTTCGAAGTGTGCGGGATTGACTTACTTCTACACTGAAAAAACGTTGGGCGAGAGTTTGGCTTTTTATGTTCAACCGTTGGGTTAAAAGTACCCAGATAGCACGGAAACTTGCAGCAAGCTTGCGGCAAGCTTACCGTGCAAGCTTGTCAAGCTTGCATCGCCACCTTGCTGCAAGCTTGTCTGAGCTAGCAAAATGTCCCACCCAGGGCAAGCTTGCCGTGAAAGCTTTCCAGGAAAGGTTGCTGCAATCTTGCCATGAAAGATTGCTACAAGATTGCTGCAAGCATACTAAGAATGATTGCGGCAAGCTTGCCGTGAAAGATTGCTGTAAGCTTGCTACGTAAAGTTGCAGCAGAATTTCAACAAGCTTCTGGAAAGGTTGCTGCAATTTTTAAAAAATACATTTTAAATTTTAAAAAAATTTATTTTATTTCTTAATTTGAAAATCCTTGTGACGTTTATTATTATTAATTATGTCTTGTTTATTTTCATGTGGAAACTTAACGAGAAAATTTTCGAAACAAATTTGAGGGGACTGGGTATTGAACCCGGGTTCGACAGACACTAACCAAAGATCCTAACCGAGAACCTACTCGACCAACTATCAGGGAATAAAAAAATCTTGCTCTTAACCCTCGACTGTTTTTATGAGTTGAAAAACAGTACAGTAATGCTAAATTACATATACTCATGAAGTATAGCATCGTTTCCTTTTTTAAATCAAATTCCATCCCAAATCTTGGAAAAGCATTTCTACTTTGTTTTGGGCGAACGTGTCGCCCAAATATGGTTTAGATGTTCACAAGAACGAAAGTAGCGCCGCTGTATTAATTAAAATTAGTAAAAGGGTTTACGATGTCGCTGATCTCGAATTAGATTTTGAATTGAAAATTTTACATTTATTTATTAACAATAAAATATTACAAAAAGAAAATAAACAATTACACAGGCACACAAAAAAAAGTTGTCTTTCTTGAACTAGACATATATTTCCTATAGTATTTTGGCCCGCTGAAACCGAATCTGAACTCAGAATTGATCCATCACCCTCAGTTTTTTTTTAAATCGACCAAACCCACCCCTAAGCGGACAAATTCACAGTTCGGAGATAAAAAATAAATCAACTTATTCTTTTAAAAAACCGAATTTTACATCTACGAAACTTTGCTCCACTAACTCAAAAACAAAGCCAGCACCCCCTGGATTTTTTTAATCGAAAAAACTACCCCTAATCTGAAGAATTAAATTCAGGGGACAAAACAATAAAATAACTGATTACAAAATTTTATAACAAGGTATTTTTACTCCAGCAAGGCAGAAACAAAGCCAGCATTACTCCCTCACCCTCTAAATTTTTTTCAAATCGAAAAAATCACCCTTAAATAGAAAAATTCAAATTTAATAAGTAAAAAAATATTAAATTACCGGCTTTTTTTAAAAACAGAACCTTACATGTATGTAGTTTTGCTCTACTAACTCAAAAAAAGCCAGCATTGATCCATCACCCTCTGAATTTTTTTAATCAAAAAAACTACCCTTAATCTGAAGAATCAATCTTAGGAGGTAAAACAATAAAATAACTGATTAAAAAAGTTTATAACAAGGTATTTTTACTCCAGCAATGCGGAAACAAAGCCAGAAATGCTCCCTCACCCTCTAAAATTTTTTTAAATCGAAAAAACCATCAAAGAATCAAACTTAGGAGGTAATACAATATAATTATATTGTATTACCTCCTAAGTTTGATTCTTCAGATTAAGGGTAGTTTTTTTGATTAAAAAAATTCAGAGGATGATGGAACAATGCTGGCTATATTTTTTTGAGTTAGAAGAGCAAAACTACATACATGTAAGGTTCTGTTTTTAAAAAAACCGGTAATTTAATATTTTTTTACTTATTAAATTTGAATTTTTCTATTTAAGGGTGGTTTTTTCGATTTGAAAAAAATTTAGAAAGTGATGGAGCATTTCTGGCTTTGCTGGAGTAAAAATACCTGGTTATAAAATTTTTTAATCAGTTATTTTATTGTTTTACCTCCTGAATTTGATTCTTCAGATTAGGGGTAGTTTTTTCGATTTAAAAAAATTCAGAGGGTGATGGATCAATGCTAGCTTTATTTTTTCGAGTTAGAAGATCAAAACTACATATATTTTCAATATAACCTTCTGTTACAGAATCTGACTTCCATCCACCGTGCCTTTTCAAGGTCGTGATGTTAGCTCCTGCATCTGCCAACAAAGTTGGAGACGTTCGCCTGAAGCAATTTCCCGTGTACAATTCCACGTTATCCAAATTTAAATATTCAGCGACACTTTGCGGTATTTTCGAAATTTTATTAATTCCTATCACTTGAATTGAACATTCACCATTTTGGTAATTCAAAAAAAACCGTTCTGTCTGCGTGTGTGATGGGCGAAGTTGAATATATTTCCGTACGTAACCAGAAAATTCCTCTGTTATTGTAAATGATCGAGAAACAGATGTTTTAGTTTTCGGTATTTTTACAAAATTCATTTTACCGTGAGATTCGACATCTTTTAACGTGACATTCACGAGCTCGTGACTCCGACAACAACCAGTAACACCAAAGATAAGAATAACCTATACGCATAAAAAAAGAATTATAGTAAAAAAAATAATAATATTATAGAAAATACTCGTTTATTTAATTATAAAAATTACCTTAGATGCTAAATATTCAGTGTCCGAAGCTTCAGTTAAAAATTTATTCACCTCTGTTGGAGTAAGTACTTCTGACTTCTTTGCCTGAAAACCTTTGGAATTGCTTTTCAAAAAAGCTGTGACCTTATTATACGAACTAATATCTATATTATTTTTTACTTTTAAAGTTGTCCGAAGCATCGAATATTGAGCCCATAAGGTAGATGGATTCAAGGTCTTTGATTTGTCATTAAAATAAGCGAGTACAACATTCTCTAAAAAAAATTCATAATTCCGTAAGTTTGAACAGTAAATATTTAGATTTTAAGGTTATATTTTTCTAAACAAAAAATTTCATAATTCCATGAGTTTGAAGAGTAAATATTTATATTTTGTTATACAATTTTTACTAAATATAATTTTAGTTACAAAATTTTAAAAGTAAAATGAGTAAAACTAACCTGAAAATGATCCTGTACAACCATTCTTCTCGCGATACTTATAAAATGTTTGATATGCAGTATCATATTTTGCTGCTGATTTTTTTGGAATCAAATGACTTTCAGCTTCTAAAGCTTTCAATCGAATTTCTGGAGGTGTTAAATTGGACATAGTCTCTTGTTCCATTTTTTAAATAATATAATAAACTTAAACTGTCAGAGTAAAGCAAACTAAGCAAAGTTTTATTGTAAATTAATGTTAGCAACCGGTAGGTGTCGCCAGTGTTGCAATTTTATAAGAGTTCACTGCTGAGTGACTGCTCAGTGCATGAATACAATTACAGTGCAACGTCTGTTATGTGAGGCTTCCCCTACTTTAATCTTTTTGTCTCTGAATACCCCAAATAAGGAATTAAATTTTATAATAATTTTGACGGTTATGTTGACAGCTTCTAAATTTCAAAATGCTAAATTGAAATCAAATTCGAGATCAATGACAAAAAATATCTATCTTTAATTTTATCATTTTTATTATATCTTTTATCTTTTCTAAAGATAAAATATTAGTATATTATATAAATGTATATATGAGGCAAAATTCCTGAAATGTCCGAACAAAAAATTAAAAGTTCTCGAATTTAATCCATACTTTTCTAAAATGTTGTTATTGTTCGTGAAAGTCTAAAAATCAATTATTATTGAATTTAATAAAATAGTTTTTAAATTACAACGTTTTTAATTTTTGACTTTTGAAAAAAAAATTTTTTTTCAATGTACAATATTTATAAGTAGAATGCATAAAAGTTAATATATATATAATGATTTTTAAAGCTTTTTTGACGAGCTACACGCTGTTTATAAATTTTTTTTTTTTTAAATAACATTTGACCTTGAAATTCAAGGTCAAAATGTTAATTTACATTTATCTCAAAATCGGATTTTTTAAAATTATTTTTAACTATCTCAATGGAAAGCTTGACTAATTTCCTACAAAACATGTAATTTTCAGAGTGGGATCTTTTAAAGTTTTTGAGATATTAATTAATTAATTAATTAATGTTTATAACAAATGAAATATTTTACAAACGAATAAAGTTACCGTAATTCTGAAGTTAGTAATTAAAAGTTAACGTAATTCCGCATTCAACGAGCCCTATATGAAGTATTTTGGATAAGTAGATTGTTAATAAACAATTAGTTAATATTGCAATTGTTTATTAACAATCTACTTATCCAAAATACTTCATATAGGGCTCGTTGGATGCGGAATTAGCTTAACTTTCAACTGGTAAGTTTAGATTTACGATAACTTTATTTGTTTGTAACATATTTTATTTTTTATTGTTATTTAACTAAAATTGAACAAAAATACTTCATATAGGGCTTTTGGATGCTTGTTGTTAGTAAAAAATAAAATATTTTACAAACAAATAAAGTTATGGTAATTCTGAACTTACCAATTGAAAGTTAAGCTAATTCCGCATCCAACGAGCCCTATATGAAGTATTTTGAATAAGTAGATTGTTAATAAACAATTGCAATATTAACTAATTGTTTATTAACAATCTACTTATCCAAAATACTTCATATAGGGCTCGTTGAATGCGGAATTACGTTAACTTTTAATTACTAACTTCAGAATTACGGTAACTTTATTCGTTTGTAAAATATTTCATTTGTTATAAACATTAATTAATTAAGTAATTAATATCTCAAAAACTTTAAAAGATCCCACTCTGAAAATTACATGTTTTGTAGGAAATTAGTCAAGCTTTCCATTGAGATAGTTAAAAATAATTTTAAAAAATCCGATTTTGATATAAACGTAAATTAACATTTTGACCTTGAATTTCAAGGTCAAATGTTATTTAAAAAAAAAAATTTTTATTAACAGCGTGTAGCTCGTCAAAAAAGCTTTAAAAATCATTATATATATGTTAACTTTTATGCATTCTACTTATAAATATATATATTAATAATATATTAATAATTTTCTTAACGTAGGACTCTAAAAATTAAAAAAGAATTAATCGGAATTCTATCGGAATCCCATCGGAATCTCATTGGAATCCCGTCGGGATTTCATTGGAAATTCTTCGGAATTTAATCGGAATTCCGTCGGAATCCCATCGGAAATTCTTTGGAACTTCGATTAAATTCTTTGGAACTTCGATGAAATTCTTTGGAATTCCGTTGGAAGTTCCGATGGAATTTTGATGGAATCTCCAGGGGGCACTTTCCGGGGAATCTTTTCAAGTGGGTATCCCCACTCTACTCTCAGTATTTCTCACTCCTCCACTGGACAAACCACTAGTGTACAATAGCACAATTCCACCGAAGGCGTTGGACAAAAGTACTTTGTTCAATAAATCTAGTGCAGAATTGTCATTTTTTATCCGAGCAAGGTTATTAAATATATTATTAAAAAAAATTTTAAACTTGCCTTTTTTTGATTGTTTGGCTTTAAAAAAATTAGCGAAAGTTAGACAAATGTCTAAAAATCATTAAAATTTGCTTGAAATTTGAACTTTGATCGACTATAACTCTGAAAATTTTGAATGGATTTTATTGGTTGACCAATGGTTTAAGAGGTAATTTAATTATCTTCCAAATGGAGATTTATTTTTTACATTTGGATTAACTGCTTTCTCTACCGGTGACTTTAAGTGACGTCACACTTGGAAAATACATAATTTGCTGTTACAAAAAATTACAGGAGGGAAAAAAATTTTAAATATGATTTTCTTACTCAAAAAACACATATTAATCGAAAAAAATATGTTTTGTTCGAGTGACAATTTCACTGTAAACCTGTGTTAGCAGATGACGGATCCATACTGGATTCATATTGGAAATCCGATACTGGATTTACATTGCAAAATTGATATTGGACCGGTATCAATATCATGTTGTTTTTGCAGTACTTTTTCTATGTTAATTAGCTGATGACGGATCCATACCTGATTTACACCGGAAGTTCAGTACTGTTTTTAGATTAATTAGCAGATGGCGGATCCATACTGGATTCATGTTGGAAATCCGATACTGGATTTTCAGTAGAATATTGATATTGTACCAGTATCAATTTTATGTTTTTTCTCCAGTACTGTTTTTAGATTAATTAGCAGATGACGAATCCATACTGGATTTATATCGGAAGTCCGATATATGATTTACAGTAGAAAATTGAGAATAACCAATATTAATTTCATGTTGGTTTTGCAGTACTGTTTTTATGTTAATTAGGTGATGACGGATCCATACTGGTTTCATGTTGGAAATGCGATACTGGATTTACATTAGAAAATTGAAATTGGACTGGTATCAGTGTCATGTTGGTTTTGCAGTACTGTTTTTATGTTAATTAGATGATGACGAATCCATACTGGATTTACATTAGAAGTTTGATATTGGATTTACAGTAGAATATTGATATTGGACCGGTATTAAAATCGGTTAAAAATTGACTGACTTACATTACACGGCGCGCGAAAAAACACGTTTCGAGAAAAACGCGTATAAAGTTTTCGATACATAAAAGTAGTGTTTTAACTATTGCCTTGAAGACTGTATGTATTCGAAAATAACTATTGCACAAAAACCAAGATTTACTATCACTTGCTTATGGTGCTTGCTAATGACAATTTATAAAATTATATTGACAAGAAACCCAAAGAATAGAGGGTTCTCGTGCTGATATTTAACTACATTTGGTTGCATCTGAAGTGCTAAACTTACGTTTAGTATCGACATTCATACATGTATACTTGCTTTATCCACAAGTGCACCTTCGTTGTTTTTCTGCATAAGTTTCTCACCATTAAGAAAATTTTTATCCATAAAGTCATTTTTTTTTAAACTGTTACATAAACTTCCTCGAGTGTCACTACAACTAGATAAACCACTGACTACAGAATTTACATTATCTGTAAAATTTTTTTCAACAATTTCATTCCGTATGTTTAAATCAAGAAGAACATCATCATTTTTACATTTTTTTAAAGCTCTTTGCTTTTCTGTGTAATAACGTGACTTTTTTCTTTTACAACGATCACGAGTATAAGAATACATTTTGAAACACTTTTGCAACTAAGAAGGACAAAGTAAAACTGACTATCAAACTCAAATTATAGTGTTCTTTTGTATTAAATATTTATTTTCATAGTAAATATACAACTCTGGAATGACATCAGTTACATATCAGAAAAAAAGTATCGGATTTCCAACATGAATCCGCTAACAAAAGTATGGATCCGCCATCAGCTAATTAACATAAAAACAGTATTGGAAAACCAACATGTCATTGATATCGGTCCAATATCAATTTTCTACTGTGAATCCAGTATCGGATTTCCAATATGAATCCAGTATTGATCCGTCATCAGCAAATTAACATAGATACAGTACTGGAGAACCAACATGAAATTGATACTGGTCCAATATCAATTTTCTACTGTAAATCCAGTATCGGATTTCCAATATGAATCCAGTATTGAACCGGTATCAGCTACTTAACATGAAAACAGTACTGGAAAACCAAGATGAAATTGATACTGGTCCAATTTCAATTTTATACTGTGAATCCAGTATCGGATTTCCAATATGAATCCAGTATTGATCCGGTATCAGCTACTTAACATGAAAACAGTACTGGAGAACCAGCATGAAATTGATACTGGTCCAATATCAATTTTATACTGTGAATCCAGTATCGGATTTCCAATATGAATCCAGTATTGATCCGGTATCAGCTACTTAACATAAAAACAGTACTGGAAAACCTACATGAAATTGATACTT